ACAAACCAACAAAAATATATATATATATTTAAAATATGCAAAAAAAATTTCGATTTTTTCAAAATTACAAGTGAATATAACCCCTTAAAACATAAAATGAAATTTTAATATTAGTTGATTTAGAATTACAAGGGTTACTCTCTAAACATGAATAAGTGAATATTCACTTATTTAAGTGAGAACCGAGCCACTGACTTGAAAAAGTGGCTCGATTGGCACTTAAGTTAAGTGAATATTCACTTATTTGACGAATTTTCACTAATTCAGTTTTAGGGAGTAGGTTTTTAAACCAAGTCATCAATTTTTACCCAATTATTGTTGATCGATCTTGTATAAGCTACATAATGACCGACTTTATTCAAATATACTGGTGGGACAAACTCTACTACACCAAATAATAAGTAATTTTTGTCAAGTATCTTTAATTTTGTTGGAATACTACTTAAGTTCTCGGTTAAACGTTGATTATTATGAAGTTTTGAGAGAAGTCGAAGGTATATAAAAATGACTTATGTCTAAGCTTAAAAATACATTAGTAAAAGTAGATTTTTGGACAGAGTTTTGTCAACACGACCTGCAGTAAAGGGATGATTCTACTTTTAATGCATCTTTTAATAATCCAATAATTTCAGCATCATAAAAATAATTATTATTTCATAATTAAACATTGAACCTAAATAGAATAACCATAAAAAGTTTGTTTACATGGACATATACGCATGTAACTTAATACATCACTATAGCTTGTCCTCATAAGAACGACAATCAAATTGTCACGACGATGACGTCACAATTGTCATTCGCAGATTTAAAGGTGCAATATAATTATTTATAGTATTAATTAATTAAAAACGATTTTACGCACAAAATAACTATCATTCCCAATAGAAAAAAGGATGAGCAATTTTTTGGCACTTATTACAATTAACATTAGTCCTTACAATTAGAGATAATCAGGAATTAAATTTTGATTTTTTAATTACGATTAATTAATTAATTATTAATTATAGCAGCAGAGCAATTGTTTATATCGGAAGAGCAATTCATGAGCAATTTTTTGGCATTTAGTTTTTGAAAAAAAATTAATATTCGGCGCCAAATTGGTTACGGTAAAGTTTACGGTAGAGTACGATAAAATTTGGTAAAAAATTTTTTATAGGTTAAAAATTATCTCACTTACCCACAAATGATTAGGTCGTGTCATCCGTCCCACTCCAGTGACTATAGAGGGCATGACATCACCTTATAGTTAGCGAATTTTATCTGAACTTGCAGCTTCCAGGTTTGGTTGCACAATAATAGCTCAGATACTGAGTAGTCTGACCTTTGACTCTCTAAACTCTGATTAACAATAATTAAGACTAGGCCATAGTAAATGTATTTTCTGAAATTTTATATTTCTAATTATATTTTGAAACAATTTTTTAATGAACTATTATGATGCTTCCGAAATAGTTAGTCATATGTTATTTTTTAGAAATTTCGTTTTATTTAATTTAAAAATAAAAATTTTTTCAAGGCGTAATTAGAAAAATAAAATTTCTGAAAAGACATTTATTACGGCCTACCCTTAATTTTTATAATATTTAGCTGAAGCCGATCGGAGATCGAATAAGGTTCGAATGCTGCAAATTTTATAATTGAATTGATACGTTTTCAATTAAACAAATTAAAAAATTAAAATTAAAACAATGCTAATTTAGCAGTTTTAAAAAACAGATCATTGAAAGAATTTTTTTTTCCAGTGAAATAAATTAAATAATATTTGAAATATATTTCCTACTATTTATATGATAATTGATTGGATAATTATTATCAATAGATAAAACTTGAACTTTTATAAAGAAAATGTATAAAAATTATTTTTTATGATTATTGATAGAAAATGCAATCACTTTTATAATTAAAATTCGTTTGAAATACACTTCGATATAATTAATGAAATTTGACAAACATTTTATATGTGTAATTAGATTAGACTATGTTGTTATCCACTAATATGTTGATTTAATCAAACTTTAGCTCTCCAAAATTAGTTATTATCATATACGTCATCCATAAATAAATAACAATAGATCTAATTATATATTACTACCCGAATCTGTATAACAATTATTAGTTTACATAATCATTAGAGTCTGAAAGTTAAATTTTTTAGTACAAACTATATAAAATTTCGATCGTTAACATAAGTACTGAAACATGATAATATTTACATAATCTTATGTATGATCATTTATGATCAGTATCAGTATATGTTAAGAATTATAAATTTTCGTCGCGGGAAGATATAAAATTCGTATTTTTTGTAAATTTTTTGCTTACCATTTGCGAACATTTTTTTCTGTTGTAGGTAATTGAATATACGCATTTCTTGCATTTGTATTATAATAAAATACAGGCAACAGGTGATAGACGAGCGAGCAGACAGGTAAATGGTTTGATTCGAGTCAAAATGGGCCTGCTAAGTTTAACCGTTGCAGTTATGTGATTAATTTAAGATGTTTAGTTTTTATGAAGTTAATAACATTTAACATATTTTAATAGTGATAAAATAAAAAATAGTCTAGTAAAAATTATCAGAGCAGTTTAAGGAAATTTATAAAGTTATCAAGACAGTTAATGGAGAAATATTTATATATTTACATGTAATTTTAAGGTTAGAAGCTCTTATAACAGTATTTCAGAACTAAATTGACAAAAATTATCAACACAATTTTAGTAAAATAAAATACATAAAATGTGATATAATAGTTTTTACATTATAAACTAAGATGAAATGTATCAATTAGAACTTGATACTAAAATAAATGAGAAAAATTTTACATCAATCGGATCATTCATGATACATTCATAAGTGAATAGTAGTCGAGAAAAAAATGAAAAAGTCAATAATGATGAGGAAAAAATAATTACTCCATTAAAAAAATACTCTCTTTCATTGAATTTTTTTTAAGGTATGTATTCTAGAATACCCGATGAATTGGGTTAATATAAATATAATAACAAATAAATAAGTATTAAAATTGTCATCATCTACATAATTATAGTTTTAAAATAGATAAAGTGAAAAAACTGTTACGACCATCAGGTTGTATGTGTACAATAAGTGTAAGTTATCGTCATTGCTATAACATTGTAAGTTTACTAATATACAGTTTTGAATAGGGGACTTCAAAGAGTAGGGTATGTACAATGAAGATAGGACTTGATGGGACTTAGTACAGCTGTCGCTTGCTGGCACATAGAGTATAGTAATTATAGTCGAGTGACAGACGCTATTAGTTAGTTGAAATTAAAAAAATTTTCTTTTCATTTTTATCAGTTTATACATATGTTTTTTTTTTTATTGTAGATTTTCAAATATTAAAATAAAAGTTCTTATAAATAAGTTATCATTTGTATGCTAATAGTTGGTAAATATCGGGTTTTGTAATGTTTTCTAGTAAAGTTATTGTTTTAGTTTAATATGTAAATAGTCTCTTACAGTTGGGTCGTGTTTGAATGAAAAAATTTATTGAAGAACCGTATTGATCAAATGCAATATTTTTAAAAATATATTTTTAATAGTTTAAAATAATTTATCATTTTGATGATCAAGCGTGGTTGAGGCAATAATTTAAAATAATTTTTATAATTATGATAAGTTGTTGAGTTTATTGGAAACTATTAATTACAAAAGCATTATTGAAAACTAATATCATTATAGCTACGAATAATAGAGAAAAACGTAAATATAATACATATTATATCAATGAAATTCCGAAGAGGCATCAATGATGAAAATATAAAGATGGAACTCGTTTCCCATCGTCATACCACTTGTTCTAGTCGAATATCGAGCAAGAAAAGATTTAAGCCAGTTCGATCTTCTGTTAAATTAATGTCAAAGCTGTATAGCCAGATTGAAGTTAACCATTCCTTAAAATCCAATATCGGAAAAAATACATTATTAGATTCAACAAAAAATTTATCGACAATTGATAGCTTAAAAAACTCAATAAATGTTAATAAGGTATCTCTTGATTTTGAATCCAAATTATCGCTAGATTCTGACAGTTGTAAAAAAAATGAATTAACAAGTGAATTGATAAGTGACAATGTATATCTTAGTTATAAAGGATACGAAAATCCTAGCTTTGTTCTAGATTCTTCCCTTGAATCTTCTATAACTGAATATCTTTTTGAACCATTTAATGATAGAAAAGAAAAAACAGACAACTGCGAAGCAATAAAATTACCAAATGGTTTGCATAAACAAATAGAAAATAATTTTTCTGTTGTTGCTGATGAGCATTGTAATAATCACAGAGATTTTTCACATAAATATGCTCAGCAAAAAGGAAGCTACAATGAAAATGATAACTGCAAGCATTTACCCATCAATCGAAAAAATAGTTTTAGTTGGAAAACTCAAACTAATCCAAAATGTTATTCACAACTTATTGACGATCAGCACTCTGAAATCTCCACTCTAATTAGTATGTTTACTTTTATTCATAATTGTTTATATAATATAAATTTTTTCACCCAATGACATGTAAGATTTAAAAATTTTTTTGTTTTTCAATCTTTTCAAGTGCTAAAAGTATTAACTGTAGTAAAAGTCTTTTTCATTTTTGTAACTTTCGATTTACTTTTTAACGTTATTAAATTCTCTCATCTCATTGAATAGAATAACGATTCTTTCAAGAAATGGAATTCTTAGAAGGGTTCGGGAAAAAAAAAATTCAACTTCAACTGCATAGTCATGAAAGCAACTACTTGATAGTAGGGTCCATCAACCCTTTAACGGCTCAGCTTTCTCTCAACATGTACTTGCATGGTATTTTTTCATTTTTTGTTGTAATATATACTCATATATATATATATATATATATATATATATATATATATATATATTTTTCTCCACTTCTCTCCACTTATTTCTTTCAATGAAACATAATAATAACTATCAAATAATTTTGAGTTACACCTTACTAATAAACAAAAATTTTTTTAGTTTTGTTTGCAGCAATTGAACAGGAAAATTTAGAAAAAGTTAAGTCAATTCTTGAGTCTGCAAATGTTGATATTAATAGGTAAGAATATATCATTTTTATCATTTAACTCTTTGACAGACACTTTTTTTTGACAGATTATAATTATAATGTTAATTGTTTTTAAATATGTAAAAAAAAATAAAAACATGAGTTTTGGTATCGTCGATTCTGCTCTCGCGCGGGTTAGGTTCCCCGCTAGATTCCACGTATTCCGCTCTGGAGTCTGGAGCAAAGTTGATAGTTAGACTTAAAGCATATTGCATCGCTCATCGCCGAAAAAATTTATGATGGCAGTGAGATTAGCTTTTGCGTTAAGATATACATTGATATTCTGCACTATATTATACATGTATTAATAAATTTATGTTTTTTGTTATGTTTCAGTGTAAATAGCGACGGATTTTCCCCATTAGATTTAGCTGTACTTGGGAATAATAAAGCATTAATTAATATATTAATCGCACATGGTGCTCGAGAAGGAAATCAATGTTAGTTTGAGAAACTTTCCTTATTTATAAATTTAATTTAATTCAAATTATTTTATAATTTACAGTTTCATCTCCTGAAAACTTAAGTATTCACTTGACGTCTTTAATGCAGACAGCTGAACATAAATTATCTGAAGCAAGTAGACCTGAATCTTGTTTGGCTACCAAAACTACATTATTAGAAACTCGAAATATTACGGCAAGTCTTTCAACAATGAATAATTTTCACTCTGGATGGACTGATGACACAAATACTAAACAAACTGCACTCTGGGAACGTAGAGTAAGAACCCTGCGAAAAATGTTAGCTGATTTTGACCAAGCACGTCAGTACATACTTTTTTTTCGTATGAGTCATTCCATTAAATAAAATTGTTTTTACGAGACAATTTTTGCCTGAAGGTCATCATGAAAACACACATATTTGCAAGTAATTGAGCTCTTCAAATTCGTAAATGAAGTTTTTAATGAATTTTTTCGTAGGAAAATAAAAATTACCTGGAAATTTAGGACCTTAATATTAAGTTGATTCCAAATGATTATTTTTCTGTTGAATTTTATTAAAAATGCAAGTAACACATTTCTTTAAATAAAAATTCTCAGCCGTTCAAAAAAGCTATCTATTTTTCATAACAAGTAACTAATGACCTTCAAAAATGTAATCGATGTAAAAAATATAATATTTCTGATTTTTCAGTGTGAGATAAATGAATTTAATATTTTTTCGGAATCCTGAGTCGCTTCGTAAAAATGATTTTATTTTATGGAGTGACCCATATTCATCATTTTATTTATTTTCTTTTGTTAATTTATTTATACTCGAATTTTTTCCCTCCACAGGCCCCCCTGATATTCCCCGGACAGTTAGCCTGGAAATTATTGGAACCCAGTCAGTAATTGTAAAATTTGAAGAATCAACTAAAAAATCTTCTTCTGCGTGTACCAAATTTAAAGTGCAATGGAGTACAAAAAAAAATTTTTCAGTTATCACAGGTGAAGTCGAAATATTTGACATTAGACAACGTCAATGTCAAATCGATAATCTTGTTCAAGGACAAAAATATTTTTTTCGAATATGTTTGGGGAACTTGAAGGGATATAGTCAATTTTTACCTTCATCACCCCCTTGCGCTGTACCTAGCAGTAAGTATCAACCAATCAATAAAATAAAATTTAATGTTTGACTGTTGAAAATCAATAATAAAACCTCTCTAATTATATCAAGGTTGGCGTGACATCGATGAACGATTACCTAGATATACAGATCAACTTGAACGATTGAATTTACTTTTGATCGAAATGCAACGTCCAGAGTATACTAAAGAATCATCAGCTAGTCAAAGACGCAATCATAAGAAAAAAACAATAAAACAACTATTTTCTGCTACAAGTAAATTTCAGAAAAATCTAAAACGTGGCATTTATTTAGCTTGTATTTTATATCACGAAGACAAAGTATTAGTAACCAATGAAGACTTTCTACCCGTAATTCAAATCGATGAAACTTATCCTAACTGTATATATAATGATTTTTATTGGTTAATGAAAGTTTCATATATTTGGGACAATTTAAAGACTTTAAAGCAAGACATGGAGAAAAATTATGAAAGTTCTATTAATCATTTCAAACTAAAATACCTTCAAGCAGCGGTACAGATGCAGGCAAGTTCCTTTTTGTACTTTCATATTATTTATAAAAATACAATCAAATGATAAAATAATTTAATCTTCAAAAATTTAGGCTGCATTAGGCATTCAAAATTTGGGTGAAATTTACTACATGCCAATTAAAGACAGTCAGGGAACTGTAGTTATTTCAACGATTAATCATATTACATGTCCAAAATCAGTATCTTTACTCAATTGTAGATGGTTACCCCTCAGTAAAGTTATGAAAAAAACTATTATCCATGAAGAGAGCAATGTTTCAGACATTTTAATGTCAAGTATTCAAAATAAAATAACTTATCATCAGTTGAGCAGTATTAAACTAAATCGGGGACTTTATTTAGGATATCTGAAAATGCAAAGTAGCGTTGATCTCATCCAAATAGTGGTACCTGCTAAAACACCAAATGTTCTACCCCACTGCAAAATTCGTGATAATCCGTACGTATCCGCTGAAGAATGGAATCATTTGAAAAAAGTCATACACACATCAGTATCTGACAGCACAGTAAAAGTGTGTGTTGCAGAAGAAGAAAAAGATTCATCCAACGAATCTCCAACAGTTGATCAAGGAAAGTTATTTGTAGAAACGGTAGCAGTTGCTGTTAATCAGCTTTTTTCTTACATGGGCATAGATTTTCAAGATTTTGAAACTCACAGATTATATGACGCTGAAATTATTGAACTAACTGATGACGTATCATTTCTCATTGTTGTTCCACCTGTCGAAAATGTATGTTTAGTACCAGGTACTCGAGATATTTTTTTACAACGAGGGGATCTGTTGACTTTGCCTATACAAATTTTCGAAATGGTACAACTAAATGCTTATCAAAAAAACATAATCGATCGTTATTCGAAGCTTAGTTGTATTCTTGAATTAGAAATAGTACAAGCACAACATAAACATAGAGAAGCTTTTAGTTCGACTGAAGTTAGTGCAGCGAAAGATAAACTAACTAAACTACAAGAATTACAGTCCCAAATGAATGATATTTGGAAAGGTGCTCGATGGTTAATTGATGTCATAACGTTTTCTCGTGACAGAGGTTTTTCTCAATCCGTGAGTATTTTAATTTTTTCATTGACTTTTTATTTATTTTTTATGTTTATATAATATGCTTTTAATTGAGTGAGAGTTAATCTAACTCAGCAGTACCATAGTTTAAGGGGTTAGGTGGGTTTCAAAGGTTCAAAAAAAGGGTATTTTTACTATTTTTTTTTTTTTAGTATATACAATCATATATTTTATTTAAACAATTCAGCATATCAAACATACATATTTAAACAGTATTTTGTGAAATTTTTATTTAAAAATTCTGAAAATTCAGCCGTTGAGTACCTCATCTCCTCAAAAATGCTCTTGCCGTGGACATCATAACTCATTATTGGTTCATCTAAAATCAAAAAACTAAACATATTTCGTTAGTACATGGATAAATCTAATTATTGGACGAAGAATTTTTTTTATTATAACTAATTTTTTCGAGCAAATACATGGCGAAAATTTGACCAAAAAATGTATTTTTTTGTTCAAAGTCTTTCAAAAATTTTAATTAAAATTTTTTCTATTTTCCAATAACGAGATTTATCCATGTACTAACGAAATATGTTTAAATATTTGGTTTTAGATCAACCAATAATGAGTTATGATGTCCACGGCAAGAGCATTTTTTTCTGAGACGTTAAGGGAGATGAGGTACCAACGGCTGAGTTTTCGGAATTTTTGAATAAAAATTTCACACAATACTGTTTAAATATGTATAAAGTAGGAAGTACGAGTGAATCTAATGTAAAAAATAATTTCCAACTTTGAGCTTTGAAATTAAATATTGGGAAACTTAGAACTTTGATACGCCAACTAGTGGTTCAAAGTGTAACTACTCAAGGTAGGCTAATTTTGTGTACATGTGTACATGTGTTGCCTACTTTTGCCTACTTTGAGTAGTTCATTTTTTAACACCAGAGGTCTAATACCTAAGCCACGCCTATCCTAAGGATCCCAATACGTATAAATAAATACGTCATTTATCTCATCCCAAAATTCAAAAAAGGTTCACCGTTTAGTTACTTAGATATTAAATTTTAAAAATCACATATTTTATCTCCTTATACACGGGCTCTTATAGCGGACAAACTTTTGTCGAGACTTTAATTATTTTTTTCAATATTAACCTCCTAACTTTAACGGATAAAAAACTATACACAAGAAACTTGGATTATTGCAAAATATATAAACAATTTAATAATAATACATTACCGATATAATTTTTGAAATATTTTAAGTCAAATTTTATGTTTGTAACTCGTTTATCGTCAGCCATTTATTCGAATAAAGATTTGACAACATCGCGTCAACAGCTGAGAAAAAAGAAAAGGATAGAAATATAGTTACAGAGAGAGAAATGTTTAACTCACACACTCATCTACGTCTCTGTTGTGGGTATAATCAAGCGCGCTATTGCCAAATCTGTTTATTTATTCCGGCAAGTAATAAATACCAAAGTCATTTTATTACTTTACTTTATTAAATAAGTAAAAATCATCAATTATTAAATTGTTTAAATTATTTTAAATTAAAATAAAGAATTTTGACGAATATTGGGAAGACTAAAATTAAAAAAAAATTTAAACACTATTTTGACTCATTAGTTACGCTCGTACTTCCTTAAATAAAATATATGATTATATATACTAAAAAAAAAATACTAAAAATACCCTTTTTTTTTGAACCTCTGAAACCCACCTAGCCCCTTAAAAAATTTATCTGCGCAAGAATCAGTAAACCTATTAATACATCAATTTATTAAACTGTAATTAGCTAATTATTATTATTTTTCATTATAGGTTCAACGAAATAATAATGGTATCACTTTGAAATACTTACTGAATGTTAATCAAGGTAACGAATCCAATGCGCAATGTAGTAAGCGAATCTTGTTACAACTCCCTGCAAAAGATACAAAGTCAGTTAAAACAAATCCTAACAGAGGAAGTTGGCCTGGACTAAATACATCAAACAATCTGTGTGCTACTGAACTAAGTAAAAGTGAACAGCATCTGTTACAACAAGACATAATAACTGATGATACGATCTATAGGAATAATGTTTCCCAAACTGTTAATGATGAGGGAAGTGGAAGTAACGATTGTTTAAAATCATTTGCTTCTGCTAAATCAATTAAATCGAGTAGCTCAACATATTTAAGTGGAACAACAGTAGCGATGTCATCTTCAAAGTCTGAAGACATTCTGTCACTTGATCGACATAAGCACACTCGAAGTGGACTGAAAAATAATTTTACGATTGTTAAATCAATTTCAGCAGATGTAAATCCTCAGCTAGATGAAAAATCAACGACTTATGAAAGAACAATGAAAGATATTTCAATTGATTCTGCAGCAAATACAACTACTTCACTAAGTGTTAAGAGTCTTAATTCGGATAGTATCCATTTACCATACACAGATAATGCGAATGCAATCTCACATCCCATTAGAAGTCACATATCCACAGTCCATACTAAAAGTGATGTACTAAAATCTACGGCAAGTGTAGCAGCTACAGCAAGCATTTCAATGGATACTCATCTAGATGAATTAAAAGATCAATCAACTGTTTTACCAGTTCCACCACCAGGCATTCTTCAGGTAAAAATATCAACAATAACTGTATGTATTTTGAATCATATTCATTCGTCTACTTGAGAATTAGTAATTTTATTATTAAAATGATAGGAAAGCATAAAAACCAATATAATAAAACAGTCATGTAGAATATTAAAAGAGAAAAATTCCAAATCTTTTAAGTGATTTTCGAAAAGCTCGTATCTTAGTTAATAATCATGGTATCGAAAACAAAAAAAAATTTTTAAGTTTAAACAATTTGATTTCAAAGTTTTAAAATAAAAAATATTTTGAGACATAATATAATTAATATAATACCCGGTGTAATTAAAAACAAAAATGCAAAGTGTCAATTTTGAGAGTTTTTTTAATCTCTATAAAAATTTTATTCTTGAAATTTAGTCGAAGGATCAATGACTTAAAAGTTTAGAAAACTTACAATTTTTTCAGTGGAAACTTGAAAAATTTTATTTCAAAATTTCCTCTCTAAGAATTGTTTAAAAGAATTTGCCTTTTATTATATAAGCTAAAAGTTAAGAAATTTTTAAAATTAGTTTACTAAGTTCGTAGTTTGATATTTTTATGCATAAAAATTCGAAATCAACTTTTTGGAGTAGTTTATCTAGATAATTGTACTTCACAATTTCTATGTTTCAAGTTTAGTAAAAATTAATAATTTTCTTTATGAATGCATTGCAATTATTCTCTTTGTTTTCTTAGGTATATGTTGCCTATGAAACTGGGTTAGCTTCCGGAACAAGTTTGAAATTGCATGTTACTCCGAGAACAACAGCACGGGAAGTAGTTGATTTAGTTGTCAAACAATTAAACATGGCAGTTGTACTCAAAGGACAAGAAGGACCGATTTACTCAGCTGAAGAATTACCTAATTTTTGTTTAGTAGCTGTTATTGGTGCAAGAGAGCGATGTTTAAGAGATGACTTTAAACCATTACAGCTTCAAAATCCATGGAAAAAAGGCCGTCTTTATGTTAGACAAAAACAAGATGTTTTAGCTGCTCTTGAGCACAGCAGTAAACACTTGGCTTATTTGTAATAATAATAAAACTATTGTTTTATATATTTTGATATGTATCATTTTTATTAATATGTCACCAAACCTTGTTTGTTAATTGCATTAAAAGCATATTTTTTTAAGATATAAGATTTTTAATTTTATTTGATTAAACACTTTTGAAGTGACTTCTTGAAATAAACGTCTTTTGTCAAATCGATTTCAGTAAAAATCTATTAACCCTTTATCGCTCAAATTATGAGTATCTAGTTAACACTCATCTTGAATGCTAATAATTTTCTTTTTATTGTACCAAAGATACAGCAAGTTTGATAGTATAGTGCGGATATCTAAAGGTGAGCTTCTCACAGACCGATGTGATTAGTAATTTTTAGTTCTTCACGTCTCTAAACTTGTCCACTATATCAAGCAACATTTAATTTTTAACTTCCCAATATTAATAATTTTCCAGTAGTGATAAAATTTATAAGTAAAATTTAGACTAAGAAATGAATTATTACTTATAATATAATTAAAGAAATTAAGGACTCTTTTTTTCTGATGGGTTCTTTTGATTTTTGAAAATCGAGTTTTGGAAGAATACTTAATTTTTTGTATTATTATAACTTAAAAAATTCTATTTATCGTGTATTTATACAATTGTTAAATTATTATTTAGTTATGTATTTATTCATTTATTCCTTGGGCATAAAGTTAAGCTTTTGTGACTATAAGTCATAACAAAAAAATTACAACATAAAATAATTTAATTAACCGTTATATAATTATCTCGAAAAAAATAATGACAATAGAAAAATAAAGCAAAAACACGTTTTAATACATTCTAACTTAGTTTATAAAACAAAATTTGATAATTTGACTTGTGCGGGCAAATGGTATAGTTAAGACAATATATTCTTGCAATGCAAATTTCGATGCAATACAATCTTACATAGGCTGCAACTTCTGTTCATTGTCGAGAAGACTTGGATTTATCAATTATAGTCCTTTATAAAATTCACACGCGATGAAAAGTTAATTTAAAGTTTTCGAGTAAAGATAATTTATCATTTTTAATTCTATATTTCATTAATAATTGCTTTTTAGAACAATACGATTTTTTAAAAGATTTATGAAATACGAAGTAAAACTTATAAATAATTTCCTATTCGGTTCGATTAAGTAAAACGCAAAAAAGCAAGGAAAACCATAATAAAAACATAATTTTTCAAGCTATTCGTTCACAATAATAATCAAGCCATATAATAAGACCCATCATAATTGAATTGATTATTATGAGAACTACTGAAAAACATCTAGTTGAGAAAAAAACTATGTATACTATTTGAAACAACAGAATATGTACACTATGAATGTTTTGAAAAAAATGATAATATTTATGATTTTTGATTTCTTTTTAGTAGATTTCATAGAAATCTAATTATTGCATTGGTCCTCATGACGGAACTTTTAAAAAATTTTGCTATATTTCGACTATACTCGTCGAGCTGAGTCGGAAAGTGCATATGGTTCAAAAGTTTATATATGTATATATGGGGCATTCCACGACAAATCGGACGGTTTAAAAAATTTAAATTTTAGATATTCTCAATTTTTTGGTATTTTTTAGTATCCCCCAAAAGAGGCCTCCTGATAAATTTTGAGATTTTTTTTATCACTGGTTCAAAAATTATCGAATTTAAAAAAAAAAACCGCTCTTTTTTTGGTTTTTTGCTCGTAATTTTTTTAATAATGGTCGAAATTCAATATTTTTGTTTTTAAATGACCTTTTCAGAAAAAAATATAAAAACAATATTCAAATTATTTTTCATTAAGATTTTTTAATTTTAAGTCTTTAATTGTGTTTTCCAAATTGTGTGCATTCGTCGATTTTTTGAAAATTTGCTATTTTGAACTTCTATCCTTTCTTCAACTTTTAAGCCCGGTCCGGTAGAGGTCCTTACATAATTAATATTTTTTATCGATTTTTAAAAATTATAAATTATTATCAGTACCGATTTTTTAAACTCTGTACTTCTTTTTTACTTATAATAAATTGATTTTGATATATTTTTGCCCCAAATAGGAATTTTAAATAAATAAAGAAAGACTAATTTTATTTACGAGTAACTATTAACAACCGTTTTTTTTTATTTTCGTGTTTTTTTAAATATTTTACATAAACGACCGATTTGTAAACTTGAAAACTCCTTAGTTATTATTATTAAGTATAAAAAAACTCTACAGAATTTGTCGAAATATTCTCTGATCATATAAAAAATTTATCACCGCATGATTTTGTTGCTAAAGAACAATTGGCTTTTTTGAAACAAAAACAAAACAATTGTTGCAAGATCATGAGTTCATAGCCATTTGCGATTTTGCTTTTGTGATACAAGATGCAGTGCCAGGGTTTCATTGGAACAATAATCAAGCAACGATTTTTCCTGTTGTAATCTATTTCAAACATAACAGCGAACTCATTCACCGAAGTTTAGTCATCATATCTGATAACAATAACCATGACACTGTCGACGTTCATGTGTTTCTGAAGATTGTTACCGATTTTATAAAAGAATTAAACCCCAATTCAGCTAAAGTTTTTTACTTTTCGGATGGAGCTCCACAACAATTGAAGAACTTTAAGAATTTTGTTCATATTTATTATCACAACGAAGACTTTTACTTGAATCTTGAGTGGCATTTTTTCGCAACAGCACATGGTAAAGGGCCATGTGATGGTATTAAAGGAACGGTAAAAAGAAAAGCAGCAAGAGCAAGCCTTCAACAGCCACTTGATGACCAAATAACTACAGTAATAGAGTTGTACAACTAAGGCGTCGAGACCAACAAGTCTACCAAATATTGTTGTCAAATTTTCACCTGAAAGAGACTATATTGAGGCGAAAGAAAGATTAGATTTGCGATACAATACCGCTAAGACCATTACAGGAACTCAAAATTTTCATTCAGTTATTTCCAGGAGCAACGGAAACATAATAATTATTTATTAACTAATTATTAGTTAACTAAAGAATATTCAAGTTTACAAAACGGTCGTTTATGTAAAATATTTAAAAAATCACGAAAATAAATAAAAACGATTGTTAATAGTTACTCGTAAATAAAATTATTCATTTATTTATTGATTTTAATGCCAAGGCAGTGGCCGAATGGCAAAATTATACATTTTATTTACATTAAAGTACACGTAATTCATTTTCATTTTGAACATTTTTCTGTGCGAGGATTTATATTGGAAAAATTCAAAAAGAAAAATTAAAATAAAACAGAATAAGAAAGTAAAAAATTAAGTAAGTAAGCTAATCAACAATTTCTATACATTAAATTTTGGTAGACAAATAAAGTAGCATTTGAAATCAATCAATTTATGTAATTGAGGAATTTGCTATCTTTGGTAGATCACACATTCATGGTTGGCCCTCTCGTTCTTGATGAAGGTAGAATTCATGACAGCAAATCTTGAAAGTGTCAAGGCTGAGTGAGTTTATTATTTCAACTGGTAATTCCCTCCAAAGTCGAATAGCGGATACCACAAAAGAGTGTTCATAGACTATGCTGTTGAAGTTTGGAATTTTGAAAGTATTGCTATATTTGGCTGCTATTCTCTCTGATCTTCTGATGTCAGGGGGTTCTTCGACAAAGAGGTCTCTGAGATATTTTGGTTCACCAGTTTTAAGGAGCTTGTAAAGAAAACAAGCCAAATAATAACGTCTTTTTGCTTTGATCGTTAGCCAATTTAATGATTGTCTGTACGGAGTAATATGCTCATCAAGTCTTAAGTTGTAAATAAACCTGATAGTATTATTTGAAAGACGTTGTAATTTATAGTCTATCCTTTTTGATGAGTCAATTAGAACCAAGGAGCAGTATTCAATGATTGGGTTTATGGTCACCGTGATAAGAAGTTTGCGTGTGGAAGTTGAAAGTATATTCTTTCTATGTTTAAGATAGTTTAATGTCGCATAGACCTTCCGCGTTACATGATCTACATGAACATCCCAAGAAAGATTGTTTGTCAGATGAATGCCAAGATGTTTGGTTGTGGTCACATACGGTATGATATTGCCTTCAATAATAATTTGAGGGAGATAACCGCTATCGAGATGTTTGAGTTTTCTATTGCTCCCTAGGATCATGACTTTAGTCTTCTGAAAGTTTATTTCAAGGCCTACTTCCTTTGCCCAGTTTGCTACAGCAGTACCATCAGTTATGAGTTTATTTGCAGTATCATATAAATCGGACATTTTGAAATGAAGATATGCATATTTGTCATTTGCGAAGAGACCATGCTTAAAATGTTTTAGTCGCTTTGATAGTCCATTTACGATAATTAAGAAAAGGATAGGACCTAAGATGGATCCTTGAGGAACACCAGAGGTGGTACCAATTGCTTTTGATGGAATGGAATCAGTGTCGAGTGTAGATTGTGATCTGCCCGTAAGATAAGATTGAAACCATCAGATGACTTCAATGGAAAATCCCATTTGATACATTGTGATGAATAAAATTTTATAAATAAAATAAAATTAGTCTTTCTTTATTTATTTAAAATTCCTATTTGGGGCAAAAATATATCAAAATCAATTTATTATAAGTAAAAAAGAAGTACAGAGTTTAAAAAATCGGTACTGATAATAATTTATAATTTTTAAAAATCGATAAAAAATATTAATTATGTAAGGACCTTTACCGGACCGGGTTTAAAAGTTGAAGGAAGGATAGAAGTTCAAAATAGCAAATTTTCAAAAAATCGACGGATGCACACAATTTGGAAAACACAATTAAAGACTTAAAATTAAAAAATCTTAATGAAAAATAATTTGAATATTGTTTTTATATTTTTTTCTGAAAAAGTCATTTAAAAACAAAAATATTGAAAAAAAAATTTTGAATTTCGACCATTATTAAAAAAATTACGAGCAAAAAACCAAAAAAAAGAGCGGTTTTTTTTTTTTTAAATTCGATACTTTTTGAACCAGTGATAAAAAAATCTCAAAATTTAGCAGGAGGCCTCTTTGGGGGGATACTAAAAAATACTGCCAGGATTTAAAAATATTCAAAGTTATAAAAATTCATATTTTTTCATTTTCTAACTCGAATAACTTTGGAATGGGTTTTTTTTTTTTTTTGTTTGAAAAGTTTATTTTTATTTTTCCACAGACAAGAGTTACATAAATGATAATACAGATTAAAAAATACAATAAAAAAACTGTAACATAATTATAATAAATGATATTATTTTATCTTAGCTAGCTATATAACAAATAGATCTCGCTAAGAGACATATTGGAGACTAGCTGTTACCCGCCCGCTCCGCTGGGCACTATAGAATTGAATTTTGAGATCTAGACTTGAAATTCAATTGAAGTATTGTTTTGACTTGCACAGATTCCAAATTCTATCGGATTGGCCTGTACCTTTTATCCATGTCATCATTCTAGCGAATATCCATTGTAACTTACAATGTGCAATCACTATAACATTCACTTTCTCCAAAAATAAATTATAATTTTGGATTTACGATTTCAAGATTTGATTTTACGAAATCTCTTAAAATGAGTAGCCAAATTTCTTTTCCCTATCTCAAGTGTTTAGAAAATGTATTCATTTTAATCTGTTACATTCCCGCGATCCCGTAATAAGAACAATTCATCGGTTATGTGATCAGCAATAATAAAATGTATGCAAAATACTCAGTCCGTTGACTATATAGCTACATGTAAAGTTGAATCCGAACAAAAACAGTTTCACTGTAAAAAAATCGCGCCAAGTCCACGTTCATAAGATTATTAAGAAAAAAAAATTGTTTTTTTCTTTACAAAAAGATATAAAAATTAAAAAATCCAAGTAACCGATATAATTGTTTATGATTTTCGGAAATTAAAAAAAAATTTGTTGTAAATTTAAAAATTAAAAAAAAAAATTTGGAACGTACTTGGTGTGCGTCATATTGTGTATTTCAATTTTTTTAAAGTCCTAGTAAATAGATTTTACGAATTTCATTAAAAGTAAAATATTTTGCAACCACGCA